AAAAAAAAAAAAAAAAAAAAATCCTTTGCATACCATAAATGAAGATAATTTCAGGTTAAAAATGCAAGGATTTTGGTTTGGTCCGGGCATTATAATGTGTTGTCTTCCCAGAGGAGGATAAATGTATTTATTTATTTAAATTGGGATTTGGGGTTTTTTTTTATTTTTATTTTGGAAAATAAATCAAATGTGCCTACAATGGGTGTGAATTGATGCTTATGTTACATATTATCTACTGCGTGCTTATGTTACTTCAAAGTTTATTGGCTCGAGGACCTGAAAGATACACCACAATATTGATTTTTCTTATATTTGTTTGAAACGACAAATTTTATATAAAAAAAAGCATGTAATTGCAACTAAACATCAGTCAGAATAAGCCAAGCGGCCATCGAGTCGAATCTAGCAGGAAGATTGTACACACATAAGTGCATCATAGAATTAGTTAACTTAACTCACCTACTATACAACCTGTTGGTGAAAATGAAATTCACCCGTGCTCCTTCAACTTCAACGGTCTCTGTACATGCAAGAACCCAATGTAGAGGGGGTTTCGGCATCGGGCCTCCGATGTCTAAGTCAATATCACTCCAAAACTCTAAATCTCAATAGTATAATTAACTATGAATGTAGAGAGAATAAGAATTTGAGATACCTTAGCCCTCTTTTTGTTGGATTTTGTCGTACGAATCAATCGCACACGCAGTGGAATTTTAAAAAAATTTCTTACCAACAAGAAGATCCGGTTATAGCTATTCGATTTTGATCCTAGATCGCGAGAACTTACAGTTTAAGTTTTGTCTTCAACTATGGTATCCACGCAATCCAGATCCTGGTGCACGATCCAACGCAATGAATCCTTTATGGTGAAGACGCTAGGAATCCTCAGTCAAAAAGCCAAAGAGAGAGTTTGTGTTTTTACGGCGTATCTCAATTCTCTAATCTCATATAATGAAGAGATAACCGCCTTTTATAATTAGGCCAAACCTAATTATATGGGCTTTAGGATAACCTACAGCCCAATAGGTAATTGAACCTAATCCAATTAATGATTTAATTAAGTCTAAGTCCAATTTAAACTTAATTATATATTTTCTATCTAATAGAAAATAATCTCATTACTAAAATTAAATATTCAATATTCCAATCTAATTGAATATTTAACACTCTCGATTCACTCTTAGCCGGAAAATAGATTGCATATTGTGTGACCCTATAGGCCTTCATATATTGACATAAATCTAATTATGATCCTTACGAAACTCCTAGACTGCGTCGAAGGACGAACTCAAAATATGAAGTACGTTTACATAGACAAAGCAAACAAACCTTTAGTGTAGAATTCAATAGTGATACGGTCCCTTCATTCACGAACCACTCGATTAAGCTTAGGATTTGAACATGTGTCTATCCAAATAGCTTAATCATTTTATCTCATCTCACTGGTTGATTTTATCAATTATATTTGAACACCATTTCAAATATAGTCACGTGCATTGGCCAATGACTTTATCAACCCAGTATAGAGAAAACGAGTGTTCTCTCGAAACTATATTCGAGGAATGAATCCTATCTTGGCTCAACTACCAATTCCATGTATATTATGATATACCCAACACAAGCCCGTGTCTACCCATAAGGGCGTAAGCGTTGGACTAGGTCTAAGTAAATCACTCTATACATGAATTGCGTATTGACCTCAAGTCAAAGGACTGTTACACCATTCCACACACCGATACTTCCATAGACACATAAACAAATGGTTTATCGGGTAGGGTATGCCAATACTCTCCAAAGTATCCATGTGTCCATCACGAATAACAATTATTCATAGCAGTGAGACATACTATATTCTCTAAGAATATGATGCAGACCACATGTCAATCTTTCGTGTATCATTAATATCCCTTTCTTAATGATCATCGATTGAGGCGATTTTAGAGTTATAC